CACAGTGGAGTAGTGGAATCAAGTGCTTTTTGCACAGTTGCACATGGCTGTCCTGCACTAGTGCAGCGTCATGTGTTTGGCCAAAGATAGTATGCAGCTTCACCATTATGGCTGGTTGCCTGTACAGGTGCACGCCCGGTCTCATTCACCTAGCAGTCAGCCGTGGAGCTGGTGTCCTGGCTTGCTGCACGTGCTGTTGCTGACTCAGTAGGATTCACCTGCCTTTTGCTTCAGTCCCAGCCTAACAGGAAGTAGCTCCTCAGAGCATTTGAATGCATCTCAAATGTTTGTACCGTCACACAGTAGACAACGTGACACCATGCTTGCACCATTTATTATCACTCGGGGTGGGAAAAGTACTTTATTTTCTTACTTAAGCAAAAATAAATAAAGAGAAATAAAAAATGAAAAGTAATAACTTGGTGTAAATCTAGATGATAATTTACCCGAACCAATAAAACAAGCTAAAGTTGGTCACTTTTACAGATACTGAACTAAAACTCTTCATCTCCAACAAAAGATGTGCCAGGTCTTTAAAGATGTAGTTTTGGCCTTCAGTAGATTAATTAATCCCCCCACCCAAAGGAAAAAATATCTTAATGTGACTGATCTTTTTTTTTTTGTTACCATTAACATAAAGAAGCTATTTTACTTACTGAACAAGCTTTAATTATGGATGGAAAGTAAGAGACTATTATTTTGCCTCTTTAATCCACAAAAATTATCTATGTAAGAGGCTCAGCTAATCAGGCCTATTCATCACACCCGGGGATTACAGCAAGGCACACACCGGCGCTCTAAAAAGCTGCCTTACTGATTAAACTTGAGCTGGAAGTTGAAGCTCGGGCAGAGGCTGGCAAGCTGATTATGAAGCTTGATTTTGTTTGAGGGTAAAGATGGCACCGTACAGACTTGCAGCTGACAGTTGGACCAGGAAATAGAGGTGAGGGGCTACAGAGCGAGGGACATTTACTGGCACAGGAGTGAAACTAGAGGAACAGCGATGAGGACCAAAGAGACCTGGCCAGGGCTGGGGCTAAAGGACAGGGACCTGGGCAGACAGGCAGGACCAGGCCTCCAATTCCACGGTCCAGTCCCCTGCGCTCCGGGCTTTGGCCAAACAGCTAGGCAGGTGTCCAGCTGATCTCACACCCCCACAAGGGAGGAACTGCAGAGTATCAGTCACTGGAGCTGCACAAATTGAAGTGTCATCTCTAGAGTCAAGATGCTCACCAATTTTCTGCATGCGTTGGTGCAGAGCTGGGATTCAGCCAGTGGACAAATGGTTCCAGTTCCGCCTACAGTTTGGCTCAGAGAGGGAGACTGGTGTGTGTGTGTGTGTGTGTGTGTGTGTGTGTGTGTTGTGTGTGTGTGTGTGTGTGTGTGTGTGTGTGTGTGTGTGTGTGTGTGTGTGTGTGTGTGTGTGTGTGTGTGTGTGTGTGTGTGTGTGTGTGTGTGTGTGTGTGTGTGTGTGTGTGTGTATGTGCACTGAAGGTCAAAAGATGGGATTCTCTGTCTTTTAACAGTCCACAAAACAGATTAAAGTATTTTTTAAAGACTCAAGGAAAACAAATATTCCGCGCAAAGTAGATCCTGAAAGAGTGTGTGTTTGTGTGTCTGTGGGGTTTGACATGTGCTCTTAAAATTGAACATCACATATTTTTTTATGAGAAATACATTCAGCCATTAGGCAGCCCTTGTTAGGCAGACCCGCCTGAAATCAGCCTCATTCTGTCTTCTCCTGACCTCTGACCTCACACAAGCGAGTGCCGATTACCCCGCAGCTGTGAGGGAATCTGTGGGAAAGCTGCATCGATCTCGCTGAAAGACCGAAACATCACACGTTCAAAAGAAGAAAGGTGGGAGGGGCAAAAAAAGTTAAGTCAAAGTTAAATGAAAAATTGCTTACATACATGTCTCCCTCAGTCTGGAACATTTATTATTCTGAGTCACAGAGAGAGGAAAGAGGAGGAGGAGGATAGAGGAGAAGAATCCATTTGGTAAAGTAGATGCAGATCGATGAGACTGGAGGCAGGCGGGCCAGAGTGCATCTGAGGAAGTGTGTGTGTGCGTGTGTGTATACCTGTGATGTGTCTGCGTGTCTACTTGTGTGCATGAGGCGTCCCAGATTACTTTTGCCGATTGATCCGGACCAGATCCGTCTGACCTGCAGGACATTTCAGAGCTCAGAAGAGGCTGGTGGAGGACGAGAGAGATGGCGAGAAGGAGTAGGCCAGGGAGAAATGGGAGAGGAGAAAAGAAATATAAAAATCAATAGCGCAGAGAGCGGTACACGGATCTTGACTGGCCGGGAAGCTGAGATAGTAAAGTCGTATTAATCTCTTTGTGTCTCAGTCGGTTTGATAGGAACTGAAGCTCAGCTTCACTTTCGCTCAAGGAGAGTTTGAGGAAGCAAGAAAAGGGCGACATGTGATTCTCGATATCTCAGCAGCAGGAAATAAATTTCAGACCAGATAATGGCTTTGTTGGGGGGGGGGGGGGGGGGGGGGGGATTGTTTTCACTCATCCATCTACTTTTAACAACTTAAATAATGCTTTTTCAAAACATGAAAGCCAAAGGAAACCACAAATAGTGCCTAAAATGAGATGATGATGCGAAATCTAAGATGTCAGATGCTTTCATGCTTCCATTTTGTTGCTGCCAGGCAGTTTATCAGCCGAGCGATCCTGCATCTCACTCTGCGGTCTTCTATCTGCTCTGGCCAAGTCAGGGTAAATGGACTGACTAAACCTTGTAAAAGAGGAGGAAGGGAAGCTCGCACCAGACCAACAATATTAAAAACAGATTAATCTGCTAAAAGCAGAGGTGGAGTGACAACCCGGGCGATGCTAAAAGGAAAGCAGGCCTCCTTGATCACATAAATCTTTTTGTCAAATCTGCTGCAGATAGTAAACCATCAGGACCCAGGGAGAGGTAAAAAAACATCAATAATCTTTTGTGCTTTCTAACATAAAAGGAAAGCAAACATGCACTCCTCCTTTAGCTGTTGGAGGGTAAAGCTCATCTTATTTTGACTGCGGAGCCCGGATACCGCTGGCTGGAAGCCTGCGGAGACAGGAAGCACTTTTGTGGCATGAAATATTAATGGCCTTATAGAGTGTATTGATTATATAATAACTTTTTCCACCATCCGAGAGCCGACTGAAATGTATTCCCTGAATAATTGAAAATGTATCCATGAGCGGTTTTTCATCTCAGTGGTTGGTGGATGTAATTGCACTGCAGATTTTATCAGAAGCAGCACATGTGTTTTCATACGATAAACGCAGGCATGGCGAGGATATGAAGAAAGATTAAACTCAGTGTGTGTGTGTGCGTGTGTGTGCCTGCGTGTGTGTGTGTGTGTGCGTACGCGTGTGTGTGTGTGCGTGTGTGCGTGCGTGTGTGTGCGTGCGTGCGTGTGTGTGTGTGCGTGTGTGTGTGTGTGTGTGTGTGACCTGATACCGTTTTCTTTTTGTCGAATGGTTGGGCACTGAAGACTAAACAGTGGTTGGACAGTGAGATGCAGACTCCAACACGCTCCTAAGCTTCATTTTACCCACATTTTGCTCCCTTGCACCATGTTAGCTGTTGAAACTGAGACTCATGTGCATCTGCTTGCTGCTTCTCACATTTTACCACATGTGTACATCCTACCAACACACTGCACCGTCTATTTGCTGCGGCACATCATCCACTCCCTACTGAGTCATTCTTTGCAGAATGGGTAAAAAAATGACAAACATTTTTAATGTTTCACCTCTAACTTTTCCTTTTTCAGGGTAGCTTTAATTTTTATGGATGGGACAAATATGATGTCATTTCCATACTATTATCTGATTGTTGTGAGCATCTTAGCTGCTGTAGATGTTGTCATCCCCGGCATTACTTCTGTACCAATCAAAGCTCGACTGTGTCACCAAAAGTTATGCTAATTGGAGAATGTGTAGCTCATTTGTTCCAGTCAGATTCTGTTCTACCCCCATCACAACTTTTTATAAAAGATAAACCTTTGACTCTCACCACCTTAAAACAAAAAAAGTAGCTCAACTGTTTTATTTATTTTATTTTTATTTTTATATGACCACCCCAAATATATCTGGATATTTACCAGAGGCTGTCAGCGGAGAGACGTCTCGTCTTCTCTCTACCTTGACCTCTCTGGCCCTCCGAACCGTCTCTCCCCCCATCTAACTGACAGTTCGCACTCATTTAGACCTCCATTATGCATTCCTGCCTTAGTTTACAAGACACATTGACAACAGAACATGTACAGACTTTGTCTCCTCTCTCCCACCTCTGCCTCTCTCTTCCTTTGAACAATTGGAAGCGTCTTCCCCATTACTCAACCCTTGCTTTTTATTCCTCCTCCCAACTGATCCCTCACTCCTGCTCCTCATCTCTCTGAAGGACTAAATGAAAGCAGAGGTCATACCTCCTTCTCTTCCTCTCCTCCTGCTAAATTGGCTGTCGTAGCATCCATAGAAAGCTGCGAGGCATTAAAGCCCCCTGCTCTGGAGAGTCAGAGAACCAACTTCCTGCTCATTTGTGGCATCGTTGCCTTTTTCTGCCAGATGCTTGTTTACCCTCAGAGAGTAAGAGGGAAACCCTCATTATAAAACCTTCTAAGGTCACCGCAGTCACCACTCCAACCTGCCAGCACCAACATACATGCACTTTTTATATTTTCAACAAAGGAGGAGCTTAAAAGCAGCAAATGAGGTGATATATCTGTTTCCTGTGACAAATCCCAGCTGTAGCTTAAACTTTTTTCTTTTCAACACAAAATCAAACTCTTGAGCTACCTGTCGTTGTTTTAGTTTCCCTGGTGGTGACTGTCACTGTGGCTTGTTTTTAGCAAGATGCCATACTCCCAATACCCTTCAACCCCCTCCCCCTCCTCCTACCCAAATCCCACCATAACCCTAACCTTGCAAAGTGAGTGTCTGATGTTGACAGCGGGCCATGCGTCCCTCCCTCCCTGTGCTCCGCTCCATAGGGGTCAACAGAGACACAGTGGCGTCAGGCAGAGCTCCCACAGCTCCAGGGCTGGGCAGAGAAGGGATTGCTGACACAGCCAAAGATGGTAAGGAGACAACTGCTGCCAAATGGATGGCCTAGCCATTTTACACACCCATGAAGTGACATGATCTGATGTTGTACTGTGCACATATAAATACACGCTGGTTGGTGATGCTGCTGACTGAGAAAGTGGGGACTGGAGCACAGAGTGATGGATGGGGACAATAGATACTGGGCAGCAGGGAAGACTGGGACTGAAAGGTGTGCAAACATGCTGACGTACTCACGTGTGTGTTCATTAGATAATGAGTGGCACTCATTCGTTGTTACATTTTTCATTCCTTTACAAGTCTGTGTAGGACTGGCTGAAAAATTAAATATCAGATTTTTTTATTCAAAATTTGAGTTAATTAGATTTTTTTCACTAATTCCTTAGTTAAACAGAAACTGAGTGAATATATTTTCAAAACCTTGCTTTAATTTGTTTCTCCCTTCTGAGAGTTGACCTGAATTCAAAGTCCTACTAAATACAAACCTGCTCGGGAAAGACGTTCCAGACCCAGTCCCAAAACTCACACTTCCACCCTTGTGCCCCCCAGTTGTGCATTCTCGTCGAGGTGCTAGTGCGTAGGGTGTCCCAGTTCTCAAGTGTAGACCCTTTTGCACTCTTGATAAACACCAAAGTCCACATCGGCACAGAACTATGTGAAGGGTATTACCCACAATCCATTGCTGCGTGGAAATTTTGAAAAGAAGGCAATGAAATGGCTCAAGTGCCCTTTCTGAAACTATGTTGTTTCAATTCTAAGTGTTAAAATATTGAATATTTTATTATTGCATAAATATATATTATTACAATCAGATGTTTTTCTGATGGAAAGATGCATTACATAGCAATTGTGAGCTGATAACGGTGTTGGCGTGTATTTCTTATTTTAACATCCATCAATTTCTAAACTATTTCAAGCAGAAAATTTGCACAAACAGCGAGCGGCATTCACATTTAAGGAAGTCGCAGTCGATGACGCAATGCCCGCTGTACCAATTCTACCAACACATTCTCACACCCAAAGCATCAAAATGTGACGCGTGTGACCAAGCCTCAGTATATGACGATTCGGGATGCCCCAGCGCGTCAGGGGACGACGATCAGGGACACACTGATGACGCACCGTCCCAGAGCGTCGGTATCAGACGCCGGTGGTGAGACAGACATTAGAACGACTTGTGAACTACTTAACCTTCCCCTCACCCCAATCCTAACCTTAAGGTTACAGTTACTGACCTTAAGGTTAGGATTGGGGTGAGGGGAAGGTTAAGTAGTCGAATAATATCTGTGTGACCGCGTTCGTCAAGCACTGACGCCAGCGGAGCCACGTGTCCCTGCGTGTCCCTGACCGTTGTCTCCTGACGCGCTGGGGCATCCCGAATCGTCATATATTGAGGCTTGGTCGCACGCGTCATATTTTGACGCTTTGGGTGTGAGAACGTGATTCTACAAATGCTTTCACACTTAATTACAACACACTCCAAGCCTTACATGCACTTCCACCGAGTGCACTCTATAGAGGACTGTAGGCAGCAATACGAGTATTCGGAAAGGGTCGCCTGTTGTCTTTTGTTTCAGTTTGCTAATGTTTTGGTTAGCCAAGTTGATGGTAGTGCTAAGGTGCTAATGCTAATTTAGTGTTGTATTGAGCTAAACTACTCATCAGTGTGTTTTAGCAACCTCACTTTAACAAGCTGCAATAATGCTCTATAACCGGATTGAACCGGAGGCTCCCCCTTCATGGTGAGCAAAAGCTAACAGAGCTAACTGTCTGGCACAAGCTGGTTTTAGTGAAACGCTGCTCTAAAGGCAATGTGACTGAAAACATGGCAGCAGATGATTTTGTGAATTCTAACTTCTGCTAAAATCTTAACATTAGGCAATGTTTGTGTGGGAAAAACATTCATGTGGACTGCTTTACTCAAACTGTGTTTTGTGCTTTGTTAGAGGCATGTGGGCTGACTCATTCTCAACTACGGAGGCCCAGAAGTGGAAAAAATGTCTGAATTCCCTCAAAAAAAACTAATTTTTCACAGGTGCCAAATTTGAATTCATCGGTAAACTAAACTATCACTCAGCACTAACTCTATGTACACATTTTTGTATTTAAAATGTACTCAGCTTGAATCTCTACCCATAGAAATTTCTAGAGAACTTAATGAACGACCGATGTTGAATGTGTCAAGCACCCTTTAAATCTGTATTCTGTTTCTTCACTGCACTTCCCTTTTGAACGCTTTAACCAGACTAAATCTGCAGCCTTACAAGTGAAGCTTTTGATCTAGCTGAAGATTCACAGTGTAAGGAATTCAAAACTCACACCGACAAAAAAATAAATAAATAAAATACACACTCATATTTGTGTTACAACATTCCAGTAACTGCATAGATTTCCCTGTGTATTACTTTTAGCCAACAGCCATGCGCTGGTCCGTCCCATGCAAGAGCTGAATTCTAACTCTTGAGACCAAGTGCCAGAGAGGGTTGAGTTGAGTGTTGTGCCCAGTCAGCAGGACGTGCAGTGAATTGTGTCCTCAGCACCGAGCTGCACAGTGGGAGAGCAGGGACAGCCAGAGTGTTCACTACCAACACGAAGAGGATCACTGAGCAGGATGAACGCTGGTGGGCAGGGATGAGGAGAGGAATATAAACGGCTACTGAAACTCAGCAGGTCCCTGTTAATTAGAGGCAGCCATTTTGGTGTAAAAAAAAAGAGAGAGAGAGAAAAAGTCCTCAGAATACGTCCCATGGAGTTGAAAGTCTCTCTGACAGAATGGAGCCCAGCAGGGAATGTAAACAGATTTAATAAGGCCCTCTCCAATCAACTCTGTTATGGCTGCAGTCAATGCTTTTCTCTCCGCCCTCTTCGTTCTCCCCTCGTCTTTCTCAGGCTGTCTTGGTGTCTCTGTTGTGGTGGATTGTTGAGTGAGCAGGGAAGGATACTGTCAAAAGAACAATTTGCATGCAGCTCTCATCTTGAGAGCTTTTAGACATCTCCCTGTCTGTTTGTTTTCTGCTGTGGGCTTCAGCCATTGTTCTCCCTCTCTCTCTCTCACTGCGTGTGTGTGTGAGTGTGTGTGTTTAAAATAAGAAGGTGGAAGCAGATTTGAGGCTGACATTTTTTGTTCCTTCCCTGGAAACATTTATACGGAGGAAGAAGAGAATGTTGGAATTACAGTTTTATTTCTAAGAAGCCTTCTAAAATGTGGGGAAATAAACAGTTGAACCCCTCGTATTTAATGAAATGATTTCACAATAGAGGGGATGGGATAGTGTATTTATCATTGTGCAGAAGCAAAGATAAAAGTGTGTTGATTAAAACACAAAACACTTACTGCATCTAAATTTGTTTTAAAAACCTATTTCTGGACTAATGTTGCGAAATTCCTGCTTTCAGTTGTATTATTAGAACACTGGGCCCAGTCTTCTGATAGTCCATAAATAGAGAGAAACAGGACTTGTCGTTTCTCTTTTGCTGAAACCAGCCTCGCTTCCGAGTGCAGCCTTTCTGCTCGTACTTAAGAAAAGTTAAAAATAGACCAAGAGCTGAACAGGAGAAAGGAGAGATCTGACTTACAACTTTAATTGTATGAGATTCCAGGAGGTTTGCATTCTGATGTAGGGTTTTCGCTATGAGGTGGGTGGGATGTATGTTCTCTGGATTCTCAGCCGTACTAAAGGACATGGACGGGTGTTTCACAAGGTGTTTTTTATTCATCTTAACGCAGAATCACTACAGGTCAATAGTGATCACATGCACACCTTCTTCTGGCTTGATTTAGTTAAAAAAAGCTAATATTTGTTTCCTTTCTCTGATCCATACAAATGAGACCACACACACACACACACACACACACACACACACACACACACACACACACACACACACACACACACACACACACACACACACACACCTTGTTGTTCATTTAAGCCAATAAATACTGATTTGCAGCTGTTTGAATAGCCTTTCCTTGTGTTGTTTTTCTATAGAATCCTGTTGACTCCCAATCAGCATGTGCATTAAATAAATAACAGAGTGTTTTGCTAGTAAATCAAAGTGCAACCAACCTCCTGAGACTCTTTACACCCCTTCCTGTATTTTTTCGCACTTACACTAAGGTCTTAGTTGCTCTTTGAACCTGAGAGGCTCTCTGAAACCACATATGGAAATGCAAGTATCCCTCTGTCACAGCAGCAGCATCAGCATCAGCCACCTCACAGATAGCTGAAGGGCTGCCCCTGTCGCCGTCACCTCCCACAATCCTCAGCAGCTATCAGTACAGGGAAAATGTAATCTTTGCACACACTTCCTGTTTCTCCTCTCTGTCTGTTGTACCTGGAAATGTTCAGAGATATTAGACGTGTTGTCTCCAGTGTGTTAGCTAATTTTGTTTCTGTAAGTATCAAATACATAACAATTCAAGTCATGGCTGAAGACTTAAGTAATTTCAGTGGAATAGATGAAGCATGTTTTTTTAATGAATTTAGTTATTGCGTGAGTTAGAAATATGGTTGTTCATACTGACTTTCATAACTTCAGTATCAATGCAGATTTTTTTATATTCTAGGTTTGTTTTTTACATTTGACCAAATGAGCATTTGATCTTCTTGGGTGTTCAACTGTTTAAAATCTGACGTATAAAATACTCAACAAGAATAACCTTTAACTGGGTGATAATACATACAATCATTCTAAAATGTTTTAGATATTGTTATCGAAAGGTATATTAGCTCTCAATGTGAGATGCACTTCATCCGGATGTTGAGGAGAACATTCAATCATTTTCTGAACTGTTTATACATCAGTGCATCTCCACTAGGCTACAGGACCCCGGACAGTTCACCAGTCCATCACAAGGACACGACCAACCATTCACTCTCAACCTCACCAAGGGAGTACGCAGAGAAAACCCACTTGTGCAGACTTCCTGCAGAAAGGCCAGAAAGGTTATATAGGGTTATTGATACAACAGCCATAATTTGAGCTGCAAAAGATGAGGATGAAAATTTAGGGTTAAACACCTAAGCTCCATCAGATTCTGAAGATTTGTTACTTTAAAAAGTTCCTGACAGAATCTGATTAACTCTAATGTCTAAGGATTTTAGTGTTACCATTCAAGGACATGCAGAGCTTTTCAAAGCCTTTGAAAGAATGTGTTTAAAATAAACTTTTTCTTTCAAGGAAATGTGCCCTTAAGAAGTAAAGATAAGCAGCAAATCATGGACAACAAAAGCAGATCAGATGCTGAAATTTCCCAAATCAGCTCAGATAGAGCTGAAGTGAACTGATGGGCGTGCACATGTAGTTAGTTGTACAGTGATCAGACATATTTTACCTGCATGAAAGAACCATTGGGCAGATTATTTAAATGGTAAAGCAAAAATACATATTTTGAAATGTCAACTTATTAAATTACATCAAAACAACAAAAAAGTCACAAATCATTGGTGTTAAAGGTGAAGCTGAGCCATCAGACCTTGCAATAACATTCTTAGTTTTAAAATGTTTTAAAGCTCTAAAACAATCACAATAATGTTGCGTAATGTTTTAAAAGATGGAATGTGTTGTTTCGACTGTGTAAAATGCCAAATATTCGACTCAAAAGCATTTTTTTTACATCTGTTTCGATTTGATTATGTAATATTCATCTGCTGGCTGGCACGGCTATCTAAGACGATCAAATGTTCTCTGGTACAAATCTGTTAAAAAGCCCAGAAATTACCAAACTTCTTGCTACATCCAATTTCCTTTGGATGTTTTTATCCTGTTGAAAAGCAAACATGCTGCTGTAAGTTTTCACACAGGCATGCATACAGCCTGTAGATGCCTTTCAATGACTATGTTTATTGAGATGCAGAAGTATTAATGCCTTCAAGGCAGCTAAATTTGTTTTCTTATAGAGCCTTTGCTTTTATATGCTACCGGTCTCCTTTTTTCTCTCTTCATCATTCCCTCTTTGCTCCTCTTCGTCAGATCATTAGTAACATGGAGGCGCCGGTGACAAATGGCCCCAGCGGAGGAGGCACCACATCTAACGGTCCGACCTCCAACAACCGCGGCTGCCCCTCACCCATGCAGACCGGTCCCACGAACGACGACAGCAAGACAAACCTCATCGTGAACTACCTGCCCCAGAACATGACCCAGGAGGAGTTCCGAAGCCTGTTCGGCAGCATTGGTGAAATCGAGTCCTGCAAACTAGTGCGTGATAAGATCACAGGTATGCAATGGAGGCTATTATTTTGGAAACCGTGAAAACAATGGGTTTTAGTGTATTATGATAATCCTAATTCCTAAATAAGCATGTCTCACTGACTTGAGACCATCTGTTTTATTAAAAGTGGGGTTGGACACAATTTGAGTCAGAAATATAATTTCAGGATGGAGTTTGGGTTTTCAAGTCACATGGTTCTGTTCTTGAAGGGATACTTTTTCATATTTTTCATATTTTCTTGAACCAGTGTGTGCTAAAATGACCCTTTAGATGCGGTGTGACAAACTCAAATTCACACTGGGCCGAAATGAAAAATTGGGACAAAGTTGCGGGCCAAACCCATTCCTTCAAACTTTCAAACTTTTTTTTACACTGAATGTGGAATAACCAACTTACACACGAGCAAATCGATTTTAAATAAAGCACACATCAGTTGTAGTAATTAGTCATGTCTCATTTAAAAATACGTTATTCCTTAAAATGTGTGTATATACAGCTTTCTTTTTATTTTTTTAACTTTTGAATCTTTTAAGTATTTCTATTTCATGTTTTCATGCTCATTCTAATTATTTACTCTCCTCTTCTGCTCCTGTAATGAATGTTATCGCTGCCGTGACACCAAGCTTTCCCTACTGAGGGACGATAAAGTGATTTTCTATTCTATTCTTCTATCTGTAATCTTTCCAGTTCCTGCTTTAAAGTAGGCAAAATCTTTTTTCACAGGCCAGCAACATAAATAAAACATAATAATTCTCTTAAATCAAAATGCAACATCTCACATTTTAACTTTCCTGCTTTGAGCAGAAAAAGTGCATACAAACCTAAATAATCCAAGCCCAGTTTGCTCCACTCTGATTTACTGTGATGCTCACCTGTTGCAGCCAGACACCTGCCCCTGTGGGGTTGGGCTCTGAGCCGAAGAAGGAGCTGTGTTGTTCTGTTCATCTTCATCACAGACAACAGGTGCTCACACAGGTTTAAGCTGCTGAACATGGAGAGCAGCGGGACCATGCTGTTGGTCAGAGTGTCGGGGAGGAGAGATAAAAACTGCACCAGCTACAGAGTCAGAGTGACTGGAGCTAAATTATCTCAGTCTGGAAGTTGGTCGGTGAACTTTCTCTGTCAGCAACAGACACCTGAGTTGTTAAAATCCATTTCTGGGCTTCAAAGTCGGCTAATTTCTGAGTAATCTTGCTGAGTAAGAGGAGTGTTCTCAGTTTGTCGGAGACAGAGGAGGTAACGCCACAGACGCTGATGCTAGTAGCATGGATGCTAATGACTGTAAATTTGTGGATAGTTATTTTCTCTTGTTGCATTAATTAAACACGAATATGGATACATTGCAACCTAGTGGTGAAATACTGTCACTGCACTACTAACACAATCGCCATGCATTATGGGAAATGTAGTTTATAGCCAATGCACACTTTGAGGCGGCATAGACCTATTTTAAGTCACTTGAAGCTATCGCGGGCCACATAAAATGATGTGGCGGGCCACATCTGGCCCGAGGGCCTCGTGTCTGATACATGTGCTTTAGAGGATTAAAGTTAAGGCCGCCCAGCCTCTATTGCCCCCTGTGGTCAGAATATTCCACTTGCAACTTCAGAGTGGCAGCCGCTCTGTTGGGACTTAAAAACTAGGGCTGACATACCTGGCGCTGCAGTCTGCTTCCAGCACGTTTCCTGCATGTTTTAGATCATGGACACAGCTGATTTGTTTGATTTAGTGATGAATCAATCCTGTAGGCACTAAGGAAGGCTGGTGAGATGTTTCAGCTGTTAGATTAAGGAGTTAAAAACAACGTACGGACAACGAGGAGATTAGTTTTGCTTTTTGTTCTATAAACGGACACTGTGGGGTGCTAAAAGCAAGGCAAAACTGCCTTGTTCCTCTTTCAACTGGGCAGTATCAGAAACCTGACCTGCACTAGAGAAAGTTTAGTGTCAAGAGAAGAGATTAGACATGAAGACCATCACTTCTTGAAGAATCGATCTGTTAGAAAATAGAAGAGAAGGAAAAGCCGCTCACGCGGACCCCAAGAGAGCATGTTCCCCCGTCTGTCTCTCTCTCTAAAGTAAATCAGAACAATTATCTTGTACTGAAGAGCAGCTTCAAAGATATCTTAGGACGAGGAATTCAAATGCTGCCTTAAATGAAAACTAATTACGCTAAAAGTTTGTTCCTATACTGAGGTTTAAAGATTTAAAGCTCCTTTCTTCCATTCAGCGGCGTCTCAGCTGAACTTCTGCGAAACACCCACCCTGCATCTGTTTCAATAAGATTTGGAGTCGATCTTACTTATTTATTGGATCAAATTCTTAGATGATCTTGGTGCATTAATATTTATGTTAAAATTGTTCTCGTAGAAAGCTGAAGAACAAATTTGAATAAATAAAAAGCTTAAGCTATTTTAGTGTAAGGTTTTAGAGCCTGCATGACACACGGTGAACTTAGACATTTATAATAGATCCACTCTGGGGTTTGGAAGGTTTTTTATTCTTTATTTAGAACAAAACACATTTTAAAGAAGCCATGTCTGCATCTGACAGAACAAGACTGAAAAAGAATGCAGCTGCATAGCAGTCACATTTTAATTACACTATTTTATATAGATATTACCTTATAATGCAGCCAATTAACGTAAAGATTAAAAAGCAGAGTTGAAAGACGTTGCTGAACATGGGATTATTTTATCTAGCTTTCTGATTACATGTATGGGTGATGAATCAGCTGGCTAATAAATAAAAAAATAAAATCAAGTTTGTTGCCGATTATTTTCATTGTGCCAGTTTCTCAACAAGCACCTGTTTTAAGGCGGTTTTGAAGGATTTGAAGCATCCTTGTTCAATGTTTAAATGTTATGCCCCCCAAAAATCCAGAAAAATATTAATAACTCAAGATTGAATGCAAAATTTATTCATCAGTTATATTTTGCCAGCTCAGTGGCCTATTGGTAGAGTGTCCACACTGGGACTGGGAGATCGGGGTTAAAATCCTGGTCGGATCATACCATAAACCTTACCAATGGGACCCAGTGCTTCCCTGCTTGATATTTAGCTTTAAGAGGTTGGATTGGGGGAGGGGGTTAAACCACCAAATAGTTCCCGAGCGCAGCCACAGCTGCAGCTCACTAACCCACCCATGGGGTTGGGTCAAAAGTGGAGATGGAATTTCACCAGCGAGTGATGGTGGACTTTAACTTTAACTTTTAGTATGTCCCAAAAAGCCTTTAAGATGAAGTGGATTGCTGTAACTGAGTACATTTCATTTATATATTATAATACTTTAATTTGTCACTTTTGCAAACCACTCACTGAATACATTTTTAGACTAAAGTTGGAGAACATCATTTCTGCTAAAACATATGCGAGGAGCTAAATAAGGCAGCAAATGTTCTGAATTTTGCACATACTAAACAGTTTGACTCTGTCCTGTCTGACTCGAGTATTTGGGAAGATCTGCAGAATGCGACGGCGTTTTCTATGACAGATCCGTCTTCATCCTCAGCGTGCTCGAGCGCTACGACTCGGAAATGCAGCAAAGTGCCACATGTTCTCCAGAGGAGCTTAAATTAGGCAGCACTTTGCGGTGCTAATCACGGCTGTAATCTGGGCGTAGTGGCTGTGTGGGTGGCCATGCAGCAGATGGATCGGGGGTGGGTGGGGGTGCAGCTCTGTGATAATGCTCCATAATGGCTTTCATTTTAGATCCTACTTACTGACACTCTACTCCTGATAATCTCATTAAAGAGCACCAGGCAGGGATCACCGAGCCATTGAGGGATAGCAAAGGGAAGAGGGTGAACACACACACACACACACACACACACACACACACACACACACGTGACGCAATCATTAAACTGGATTTCCTGTAAACTAAAGGTCCGATTTTAATGACAGCTTGGCTGTGGACCAGAGACGGCCAACGATCTAAACCATCTCTCCCTCCTTCGGTGCCCACTCTTAGGAGAAGATTTCTGCTGCTTCAGGATCCTCTTTAGCACCGTCCTCCTCTTGTGCTGTAATGGGTCTCGAAGTGGAGCCAGATTCACCAGGATAATGGTAGATGTTGTGTACAAAAATAACACTGGGATACCACATGCTATCACCATCACCATCACCATGCTCCCTCTCCTCCTGGTCTGCAGCAGTCAGGAGCCCGCAGGAAGTCGGGAGAGCGTTTTAAAATGAAAAGCTTCACTGTAAACCTGCGAGGATCTTAAACGGGGACTCAAGGAGGTAGAGGTGTTTGCGTTTCTAAACCATTTATGGAATTTCTTTGCTCTGCACTACAAGGACTACCCCCCCTTTCCCCCACCCACCACCACCACCACACACACACACACACACACCCCGTGGTGCAAGCCTGTTTTGCTCTCCCATGGGTGCAATTTTCCCATGCAAACTTTTAGGCTAAAAAAGCACAGGTTCCTTCCAGCAGGGAATGCCAAGAGGCTCCACGCTCTCTAACCGTCATCCAAGTCATTAACAGACTAAGCCAGGCTTGAGGAAGGGAGGAAAGCCATCCCTCACTGAAGCTGAAGCACCTGTGCTGTTCTTCATGCAACTCTACAAATAAATACAAGATCATTACGATGCTGAGGGGTTTTATCATCATTTCTGGGTGAGTTAAACATTTAGTGAGAAGATTTTTCTCCTTGGTAGGATTTCAAAAACAAGAAGCTCTGTAGTTATGAATTGATGCTGATGGGAATAACAGGACTTCTCTCTTCTTTCATATTCTGCTTTTCTGAATCTGGAGTACAAAAGTGGTTCTTGGAAGTTAAATCCACTCACATAAATTTCAACAAATGCCCTTGGATAATTTCTTTTTTACCAGAAAATGTGTTTTTTTTTACTCAGTTCTCTTTCAAATATCAAACTGACTTCAAACAAACAATAATTGGCATTTGTTTACACCTCTGTTTCCTCCCAGTGGTTGAATCCCGGCTAACCTGCTGACAAGGTGTTAGCTCTTGAGCCTCTCTGAGGTATCTGAGA